GCAGGATCTTGTCCCTGTCCACGTCTGTGCTGAGAAGAAGTGGATTAGTCGCCATGACTGAATCCTCAGCTGAAGGCAGGCGTTCTACGATCACGTTGATATGGCCGGCACTGTTGGGACTGCTGTTGATAATCTTCTGAGCTGATGACAGTAAGCTGTCTGTGACAGAGGTGCTGTCATGGTGACTATCAATCTCCACCTCAGACTCCGCCTCCGTCGTCACCTGCACCTCCACCATGGGCTCCTCGGAGGTCAGGTCTTTGATAGGGTACACACTTTCCTGCTCTTCCTCTGCTGCTTTTGGACTTAGACTGAGATGAGAAACCGGATGATTCACATCCTGTTTGTTCTCAACAGCCAATGGAGCAGCATACAGCTGCAGCTTGAAGGCAGTGGGCAGCTTTTGCAGACTTTTATCTTGAAGAACTGGAGACAGAACAACTACTTCCTCTCTGGTTGCGGCAGTGTTAGCTGCAGCCTGTGCCTCTCTCCTTGCGGAAGCCCCATCTTCATCCTCGAAGATGGGGTAAGAGCAGTCGACCAGGCCTGCGTGCTTCCAGGCATGGGTCTTGAGCATTCGCTGCTGGCTGCACACATAGCTGCAGATCAGGCAGCGGTACAATCCATACTCTTCATAGCTATACCATTTTGTCTTCTGTGGTAGCTCCTTGGAACCTTCCACTGAGCTCTTGATCACCTCTGTTCCTCTACTGCCGCTGCTCCCAGTCCAGTCCCCATCCTGCTGTCTTACAACCTCTTCCATGACTTCACTACAAGCATCCGACAGAGTGGAATTCTTCTTCAGGTTTCCACCGTTGTCGAAGTGCAGCCTGACATGTGCCTCCAGCTGCCCCTGGTCTCTGGAGGTAAAGCGACACTTGGAGCACATGAGGATGAGGTCAGTGTTTTGCTCATTGTGTTGCTTCAGGTGCTCTTTCAGCAGAGGCAGCGTTTGGGAGACATATGGGCACAGGCTGCACTGATAGCACGTCACTGTCCGCTTGTGTTGGCCGCTGTTGGGGTTGCCGGGTACCTCCATTACCACAGAGGTGATGTTGTTGTTACTGTCACCTGACACAGGTGAGGAAAGAGCGCCATCAGCCGTGCTGCCACCTAATCTCACTTCCTCTGCGCTCTCCTGCCCCTTACTGTTCCTCTTAATTTTCTTATAGAGAGGGCCTCCTCTGCTGGCCCCCGTCCCCTCCTCACCTCCTCCTCCCCCAGCAAAAGAGGCCTGTTGGAGTGCTCTTTTCTGTCCCACCAAGGTGCTGCGGCGCTGGGGCTGCTTCTCCACAATTTTGCTGAGTTTCTCAATGACCTGGATGAGAGAGTCAGCAGCTTGTTTCTGCTGAAGACTCTGGGAGGTGTCCTCCACTATCGCTTGCTGGGTTTGGGTTTGAGAGAGGGAGCCCAGTGCTGATGGAGTGGGGGAGGAAGAGGAGGCTGTGGAGGAATGTGTGATGAGTACAGCTACATTGCTGATCTCCTCCATGACCTGGCAGACAGCAGGGGAAAAAAGAAGTTAGTGTGTAAACTGGCTGGTTACCAATAATCTGGATACAGATATTGTTGTAATACAATATGTAAATGCCCCCGCAGAATGTCGGGGTGCGTGTAAAACAGCGTTGGACACTTAAACTCACACACAATCAAACGATTTGAATTTTTTTTCAATGTAGGATAACAAGAGTGGCATTACCACTGACAGTCTACCTGCTCAGCCATGAGCTTACTAATGATTTTTTTCTCAGAGGCACAACACCCACTACTATTTAAGAGTAAAATCTAGGGAACCACTCTCAGTATAGATTATCTGTCTACAGTTTCTAGTATATTCTTTTTCTTTCTTTAAAATACTGTATATAATAATATAACAAAAGATATAAATCTGACAAAAGCAGTCTTCACATTCCAGAAAATGAAATTATGTATGTGGTAAATACATTTTTTGTGGTGATTTACAGTACATTACAAAAGCTTTGGCTCAATTTACACAAGGTTACAAAGAGTAAAAGTTACTTTTGAAACCTACATGTTATTTTTTGAATATGCTTCATTACTGTGATATAAATAATGTGGTCTAGAGAACACTGCAGTACATCATTCATTCATACTTGACATGATTGTGACTGAGTTTTTGTTCTGTTTTACACTGTTTATGATGCCGTACTGACCACCAAGGTAATGATGTTAAAATGAGGAGAAGAGGTTGCAAACACAACTTGCTTGTTCAGAGAACTCAGTGCTTAGAAATAAGCATTGAAACTTGGGTTGATACTCATCGGCCACTTTATTAGCTACACCTGTTCAATTGCTTGTTAACACAAATAGCTAAACAGCCAATCACATGGCAGCAACTCAATGCATTTAGGCATGTAGATGTGGTCAAGACAACTTGCTGAAATTCAATCTGAGCATCAGAATGAGGAAGAAAAGGGGATTTAAGTGACATTGAACGTGGCATGGTTGCTGGTGGAGTATTTCAGAAACTGCTGTTCTACTGGGACTATCTCTAGGGTTCACAGAGAATGGTCCGAAAAAGAGAATATCCAGTCAGCGGCAGTTGTGTGGACGAAAATGCCTTGTTGATGTCAGAGGAGAATGGGCAGACTGGTTTGAGATGACAGAAAGGCAACAGTAACTCAAATAACCACTTTTTACAACCAAGGTGTGCAGAATACCAACTCTGAACACAACACACAACATGTCGAACCTTGAAGCAGATGGGCTACAGCAGCAGAAGACCACACCGGGTGCCCCTCCCCTCAGCTAAGAACAAGAAACTGAGGCTACAATTCTCACAGGCTCACCAAAATTGGATATAAATAGAAGATTGGAAAAACGTTGCCCGGTCTGATGAGTCTTGATTTCAGCTGCGACATTCAGATGGTAGGGTCAGAATTTGGCGTAAACAACATGAAAGCATGGATCCATCCTGCCTTGTATCAACAGTTCAGGCTGGTGGTAGTGGTGTAATGGTGTGGGGGATATTTTCGTTGCAGACTTTGGGCCCCTTAGTACCAACTGAGCATTGTTTAAACACAACAGCCTACCTGAGTGTTGCTGACCATGTCCATCCCTTCATGACCACAGTGTACCATCTTCTGATGGCTCCTTCCAGCAGGATAATGCACCATGTATCAAACCTCAAATCATCTCAAACTGGTTTCTTAAACATGACAATGAGTTCACTGAACTCCAGTGGCCTCCACAGTCACCAGATCTTAATCCCATAGAGCACCTTTGGGATGTGATGGAATGGGAGATTCGAGTCATGGATGTGCAGCCGACAAATCTGCAGCAACTGCGTGATGCTATGATGTCAATAGAATGTTAAAACACACCCTGTTGAAAGTATGCCACAAAGAATTAAGGCAGTTCTCAAGGCAAAAGGGAGTCCAACCCGGTACTGGCAAGGTGTATCTGATAAAGCGGCCAGTGAGTGTATGTTTGTATTCTGGGGATTGAGTATGTGATTTACTGTTTTGCACTATGTATGTAGGCACAGTGTGTTGTGTTACAATGTAAGAATGTAACACGTCCATCTGGCTGTTCACATTGAAAGTTTTGCACAGTGAAACTGAGCAAAAGCAAGTGAAGTGCCTAACAGCGACCACTGGTTCTATCAGTCACATTTCCATAAAGACATGTCGTCTCCCTCAAGAAATCGGTTGAATGTTTGTTCTTCAGCCAAAAAGAAATAAATAACTGACCAGACTGACACTTTGTGCCCCAGTATTTACAGAGGTTCTAGTGAGGGGACTGGCTATTTAGACTAAAATGGAAGTAGTCCAAATGATAAGTGTGAATGCTTACCTCATTCACAAAAAGCCCTGCCACTGCTGGTCAATAGAGAGGCAAAAGTGTGCACCATGTGCATGTGTTTACAAACCAAGCTGGAGGGAAATGGTCACAACTCATGTGGTTTTATTCCTTTCATCTCTGCAAATCCAACACTTCCCTCTTTAATCACTTTCAGACCACAATTCACCTTCCTCTTTCTCCCACTTCTGTATGACTATATCAAAACAGGAGGATACACATTTGGAGAAGAGTTGCCACGTTCAACAATTACTTGCTGTTATCCAGCTCAACTCTGAAATCTGTGGAGTGAAGCTACACCGACACTCACAAAATGTTATTAACACTGAATCCAAGAATAATTCAACAATCATGGACAATCACTGTCTTACTCAATAAATGTAAATCTGCCAAATAAACAACTCATGGTCAAATAACTTTGTCACTTTCAAAGACAAAGTCTAGGCTTTCTGTAGTGCATTTGATAGTTTCCTGAAGTTTAATGTGACTGTGCTCAGATTAGCTTCAGCACCACCATCGTGTGTATTAACTAGTCTCAGATGAGAACTTGCTACGTCAAGATCTAAAAATATTCACTACCTTTAGAATGAAGTTGAACACAGCCTCCCAACTCATACTCAAACATCGGATAACCACTTGCCGAATCTACAGGCTAATGTTAACTTAGCTGACATGCTGGCGCTGCTACGACACTAAATACACTTTAACGTGAAGAAGAAACTGGAGTAAAAAGCAGCAGGACACACACAGTTAGCTTCACAGTTAGCTGCCAGCTATTCAGACTCAGACACACACACACACAGACACACACACACAGACAGACAGACAGACAGACAGACACACGAGTCTCACACAGTGCTAGCAGTTACACACATGCATGTAACGTTACAAGGGCATTTTAATGATCTTTTCGGTAAATGAGTGACGAGGAAATGCGTGGCTGTATTTTAATAAACATATACTCACTGACACGGAAAGGCTCGGGGCTCTTTGTCCTCAACACATAAAACTGCTATGTTTTATCCGTTAGTCATAAAAAGTGGCCTCCCTCTCTCCCACATTGCAAAATGGCGAGGATGGAATATCAATCACGTGACTTGGACTTCGGGTCAGGTGACGCGGACCGATGATTGACAGGATGCCTGGTGCTGCTTTCAGGTGCTGCTCTAAAAATACCGCGTCGCATGTTCGAACTACTTATTTTCAGGGGTGAAATTCAGGAGTGAAATTATATAAATAAAGTCACTAATATCACCATTGCAAAGCCAAACTAAAAAGGATAAATACTGTACCAGGTATGTATGCTTTAAATTATTAACACACTTTTCAATGATTCTGAGTGTTACTGAGTTAGCTTTGATCAGCTATGTCGGTTAGCTTACCTTTGTTCTCAGAAGTGATGAGCACTTTTATCAAATAAAGTCAGTCTGTAATTTTGTTCTACAAGAATAAACAATGATATAAGTGACTATGATTAGTAAAATGTAAACTCCAGATATTTAACAGAGATTTTCTCAGGAAAACATACGCCTACTTTACTGCTATTAAGCATGATTTATCTTTGGCATGTAAAAATGTGTTATTTAAAAGGAATATGCAATTGACCTTTCGCTAAACCCCGCCCCCTTAGTTACTGTTGCTAAGTCCGACAAACTGTCGGCGCTGCCACTGTCTATTACTGCACTCCCCGGAGAAATATTGTCACATTTGTTGGAAAAATTGATCTCAGAAAGAAGCAGACAGTTTTGCAGTTGCATTATACATTTGAAGGTTGTATTCAGGCTGTGAAATTGACTCAAACGCACGTGAAAAAAATTTAAGATAGAAGCTAAAGCCTACCAATCACAGAGTAAAAGTGAACCATCGACGATTGAGACAAAAGACAACGATATGAACGGTCAACACCATTCCTGTAAAGCTGGGTAGGCCCCTATTCATTATTACAATCATTAAAATGCAGATGAGTAACGTTAGGGCTTTATTACGTTACACTCAGTAGGAAGTTAGCTAGCGTTAGCTAACTAACATTACATTAGGAACGATCCACAGCTGAAAATTTTATGGATTTATTTTAGGTTTTAGAAAGAGAATAAATCGTACTTCTCCTATCAACCTCTCTGGGTAGCGACTGTAATTATTACAAGTGCCCCAGGAACAGCGTTTGACAATATAGCGAAAAAAAGCTAAAAAACGACTCCTTTTGCATTAGAGTCAATGGAGCGCATCCATGAAAGTTTCGGACCTCAGTTTGAGCGAGTCCTATACTGTGCTGCGATTGGTCAGCTTTGTATTCGGGGCGTGGCTTAGCGAAGGGTCAATTGCTTGGTGTGGCTAGCCCACTGTAGCCTTGCAAGTTTAAACTTCAAAGTTTATAGGCTAGGCCTTTATTATCTAGTGTTACTTTTTCTTCACTCTTTACTGTTTCGTACCATAGTATCATAATGCCCTTATTTTATTTTAGAAACCTTTAGTTAACCCTAATTGCACACTTGCACAATGCTTCATGTTTCAAGTTCAAACCATAAATCATGTCCACCAGAAAGCTCTGTCTGGTGCACTTTAGCATGCAACAATCATAGATGCATGTTTGTAAAAGTGGGAATATAATATTGTGTAAAAAGTGTAGATTATCTTATTGATAATAATAATAAAAAAACTAATGCCAAAATATTTCAGACTTATTTTGGGATCAGAAAAAGAGATCAAATGAAATAACGCACCCCCACCTACAACATAGAGGTACACTTTACAATTGAATTAAATCCAATACAACAAAACTCTCTCTGACACCAACACTGTCTCAAAATAAGCAATAATATTACTACAAAATTATTATCTTGTTCACAGCTCTTACACTAGGCCGCTCTACATGATTTTATGTCCACTCCACGCACTGTGGTCCAACCTGTTTTCTACAGTCTGTTGGTCCAACCCCTACACATCATATGTACAGTGGAGGCCTGCAGTTTTTTCTACAGCTGAGCACTACCTTCTTTTACTGCAACTCATATGAACAGTGGGGAAATTGTACAATAAACGCTGTAGTTGTACAAGTGAATTCTTTCATAAACTAACCTGATATCCATTAATATCAGTGGTGTGGGTAAGTTACACTTCAGTTATGCCACAGTCTCCTTCTAAAAGTGTTTAGAAGTGCAGATTTGGTTTCTCTGGATAGTTTTATGGTTTAGCTAGCTAGAAGCCCTTCTACTCTACATAAATAAAGGAAAGCTGTCTATACTTGAATCTAACACAGGTACGAGTGTACAATAGAAACAACAATATTTCCTGTAAAGCAGCCATCAGAATTACTCTACTGTACATTTAATTTAAAAAAGAGCTGAAAGGATGCAGGACGGATGTGGAGCTGGCTTTCTTGCTGTTGGGCTAGTAAGTAATAACTTATTAGCAGGCTTGCCATGTCTTGCCATATTTGCCTGTGTGCAAAGTTGTCGACTCTTGTGTTCGTTGCTGTCTAGCTTTGTTGGCTAGCTTGCCACCCAAGTTTCAAGCAACATTATGCTGCCGGTGGTGGAGAGCGGCGCCGGTGCAGTACATGCAAACTCAACAGATTCTATGAACACAACTTTAACTAATGGCAGATGCTGTGAAGATACCAAAGATGATGGTGATGGAGAAGAGAAGAGAAAAACAGAGTGAGAGCTTTGTGGAATAAAAAGGTTACGGGTTGTCTCAGTGAGTAATTTGTTTATTTTCACGCATGTGTGAATAGTCTTGGACTCTTACGTTCACTCGTTACACAGCAGCTGCAAGGTCTCCATCAGCACAGGAAACAGAATTGATTAGTTCTTGACTCTCAACTGTGGGTCTCTGGGTTTGAGTCGTTCATTTGTCACATGACATCTCGGCTACTGTGGAGCAGGAATGAACTAATCGTTCAGCGCTCACACGGGTCCTCCTCGGAGTCTGTCTTCACTCGGCAGGCTGACTTACTGCCAGCACTGGGGAATGAGAGGCAAGTCTGTTGTCAGGTAACAGTCACTGAACTGACATATATCTAATATCTATTTTGCACAACCGCGCAGTTATGTTGTGCTAAGTTATAGTTTTAACACAGCCGCACCGTAACTTTAGTGTTTACAGCCAACAGCCCTGACAGAGTTCTACTGGGATCTGAATTACCACAGAGGTCGTCTCCTCTCCAAACAAACAGACCCGTACATTAAACCATTAAAACACAGCCACATAGCAACGTTAGCGTTAGCCCTGTGGTTTGTTTACAGCTAACAGCTGATCCGGTCCCCCAGAGAACGCAACGTAACTTTTACTTTTTATTTATTGACAGAGCCGTGCTGTTGTTTCACAGCTCCTGACTGGTGAACAACCTGCTGTGTTTGAGATTATTATTAAATTTGTAAAATTTTAATAAGAGTGTGTTTTATTCATCTAGTGTGTTATTACTTCAATATATTCCCTGTAAATCTGATGTTAATATATAGATTTTACTCATGGATAGGTGTTAGGCTACTGTATGAATGAGCACTTTAGAGATATAGTGATAGTAATTATAATTATATATAGGCTTATATGGCTGGTCTGGTAGTATACTCAGGAAAGATTGTGAAAGTTGACGTATTTAGCCGGAGTATTGGCTTAATCAAATATTGTCACATATTTCTGTGGTTTTTACATGGTTTGAATTTGGTTGTGGCTCCATGGGGCTTTATAGAAGCATGATAGAGAAAGATGAAGAGGTGAATTTGTGCATTGTACTTTGTCAATTAGAACAAGCCAGGCAGCCTTCTGTGTTTGAGAACTGCACTTTTTTTTTTTTAAATCGCCCACTAGAGGGCTGCAACGTGGCAATAACCAGCCTAGTTAAAATGAACATAATGACAAAAAAAGATTAGTTCATTTTAATGAATGAGATTTGGTGACTCGAGTCTTTCAAAAGAGTGACTTTTCCCATCACTACCTCTCACTTCCAGTGCAATCAGGAAGTAACTGAAAACTGTAATTCATCGAGTGGCCACTTGAGGCTGGCTGCAGAAGGTAGTCAGTCTCCATTGACCCCCATGTTAAAAAGCCCAACTTTACAGCAGAATAAAACATGTTTACAGCCTGGTTCAAAAAATGGTTTTAGTGCATATTGCTAATTTTGCCCTTCGTGACAACTGTGAGGGGGTTGAATTTTTTTATAACTTACCTGTTTAAATGATATTAAACCTTAAAGTTCTGCATTATTAGGGGCGTGGCCGCTTTGTCTGCAGGCGCCTCTCTGTTTCTGCACTCGGTCCGCCGTCTGTTAGCCTCACTCAGCTACACGGAGCTCTGAGGCTCAGCCTGTTGGAGCCATTTGAACATTTCTACATGCAGATACCGTATGAATAATGGCAGACTGTGCGGTTTATTGGAGAGAGAACCTCCTGGAAGTCCGTGTTCTAGTTGGTGAGTGAAATTCCTGTATTTTATCTATGTGTTAACAATATTTAGCAGGTATTGCTGTCGGTAACGTTATTAAGCTTGTTAGCTTAGCTCGTTACGCTAGTTAGCCAGATACGAGCAGCCCCAGCTGCTAATGATGCTAAGTTAACGGGAGTTAGTGTGTTCTACCCACAGCTTTTAAGGAGTCAAAGACAAGTCAGCAAGAAGAGAGAAGCCAAAATGTATTTGATTAACCTTAGTGTTAAACATTAGGGTGATAATGCTTTGAAGAAAATGTTACTGTTTAAAAACGATACTGTTATAATATTCTTTGTGAGGTTTATCATTGGGGATGATTAAAGTACATATTTAAGGACATTTATAGTCATCAATACGTTATTACACTTAGTAGATACTCATAGAATCCGGGTTACAGTACGTAACCCCCGTTCTATTTCATATAGGCTTCGCCCTCTAAGGCTATCACTATTGGGTTAGAGGCGAAGCAGGATGAGCCTCACTGGCCCATACGGTACCACCAAGCACAAACCCACCTGCCCAGAGCCAAATAATGAGCCACCCAGTCCCCCGCTGACCGCGGCATTGGTGTCAGCGTGCGCGCGAGCACCAGTGGCACGACATGGGAGACCGAGGGCCGACCCATGCGTAAGTCTGGAAACTGGGTGGGGAGTCCCCTCAGCCGTACAGACGCAGGCGGGGTCATGACAGCAACCGCAATAGCTGCGCACAAGGCAGGGCCATGTAAGCAGCGGCCGCCCCCCCACACCGTCCCGTGGGAGAGGGCGCACCGCACACTCACAAGGAGAATCACCCAACCAAAATACTCAGTACTGAGTGAGTCAGAGGGAAAAGGGAGACATCCCGCAAGTAGAAACGGACGAAAAAGCATGGGGACGACCAGGAGGCCACCGTGCAGATGTCGTCCACTGTCATCCCACCGTGCAATGCCACTGAGGAGGAGACTCCTCTCGTGGAGTGTGCTCTGATGCCATCCGGGGGGGAGATTCACCAGCAGACACGTAAGCCTGGGAAATGGCTTCGCACAGCCAGTGAGACAGGCGCTGCGCCGACAGGGGAAGTCCCTTGGACCACTCCCTGTAGTGCACAAAGAGGGGGAAGCCAGGAGCCAGGCGACCTTAGCCGAAAGGAATCTCAGGTCCGCCGTCTCCAAAGGCCCAAACGGGGCTATGGGTTAAGACGCGTAAACAGCGGCAAATCCCGTTGTGGGGCAACAGGCCACGTCACCGGCCTGCGCCTCCGCACCCCCCTAAGGAAATGCTTCACCAGGGGGTGGGAGAACACAGTCCTGTCCCCGAAGCCCTCTTACAGGACGAAATGGCGGCAGTGTAGGTTTTAACCGTACTGAACGCCTCATGACTGACAGAGCTGCCACCGTCGCTCGTGGGACGACACGGCGGAGGCCAAGGTAGGTGAGTCTCTGGGAGGGGAGAGGAGCACTCTTCTCCCAGTTCACCACGAAGCCCAGGTAAGACAGGTGTGCAACTAGCTGGGCTGTCTGCACCACTGCTTCGTCCCAGGACGGCGCCAGCAGCAGAAGGTCTTCCAGGTAAAAAAGGACCCTGATGCCAGACCGCCGCAGTGGCTCCAGGGCCGTCTCGACACACGTGGAAAAAGTATGCGGGACCAGGGAGTAACCAAAGGGCAGGCGGTTGTATTGGTACTGGGCGCCCTAAAATGAAAAACGCAGAAACTTCCTGTGTCCGGGAATGACGGACTCATTAAAGTACGCGTCCTTCAGGTCTGGTGCACACACTCACAATCACACAATCACCTGTTTTACTGTTAACATGCGAAAAGGTCTCACCATAATCGCCTTGTTGAACAGTGACAGGTCCAGGATGGACCTCATACCGCCCGTCTTCTTCCTGACCAGGACCCCCGATTCTCCTGCCCGGGAGGAACACTGGAGATGGCCTGTTTCTCCAGGAGCTCTGCCTGGAGGGCGGCGCTCTGAGCCGGGGATGAGCAAGGTCTCTACAACCCCGGTCAAGGGGGGAGGGGGGGAGGCGAACTGCAGCCTGTGGCCCCGCCGTAGCAGGCTGTCCATCCATTTGTCCATCGGGCAGGAAATGAGCCACTCTGAGTAGCGCTCTGAAAGTGGTCGGACCTGCTGACGAGGCGCTCTGGTGGCCATGAAGAGAAGGGGCGGGTCTGGCGAGAGAGGGTCGTGAGTGCCGGCATGCCCCGCCCTGCTGGAGGGAGCGCTTCTCTGCATGGGGGGCATGCGAGAGTCAAACTGATGGCAGAAATTCGGCAGAACAGATGTTGTAGGCTACCTGCAGAGATTTGCATCCACTTTTTTTTGTCAGCATATAATGAGCGTTACACCTACAGACAGGTTTTACTCACAGCTGGGCTGTAACTAGGGCGATGCTTTAGATAAGGCGAGAAATTAGCAGTGGAGAGCCGCCTCTGATTTTGTTTGGTGGATTAGAATTTGCCTAAAAAGGTAGATAAGTATAATAAGAAATACAAAATAAGATCCTTATAATAAACATTCAATAAGATCTGACTTGAGTAGTCAACAGGTGTCTAGCAGCATGAATTATTATTGCACAGTATCCAGCAGCAAACCGTATATTGCACATATTTGTAAACAGTGTATATATTTCACATTGCCACCCCTAATTACTGTCACATGCCAGAGAGGTTATCATGCTGAGGTGAGAGTTCAGTAGCTTCATGGCACTTTGGAACAAGCTGCTTAACTGTCTACCCAATGTTGTCTTTACAGGTGCCAGAGGAGCTGATTGCAACCCCCCAGATGTGATTTGCTGTGTCCAGCTATTCAGGAGAGAACAGCTCCAGCTTCCAGCTGTTCAGCTCCTGCTTTTCTTTTTACTCACAACATCTGAACACTACTGACGTGAAATTATGACACTGGGTTCATTATATAACTCTTACAAGACATTATTTCAAGTCATACAAAACTACTTCTACATTTGTAACCTTTTAATATTGATCTTTTCATGAATGCAAGACGAGTTTAATATGTTAAACTATTGCTTATGTATTAGGAATACTTTGTTACAATGATCAGACTAATTATACTTAAAATAAAATCACATTCTTCATTCATCATCAGTTCCCTGTTAATTGTAAATTGTGTGATTTAAACAATATATTATAGTTAACAGCTGTAAATGAAAATATTAAGATGGTATTTATAGATTAATGTATTATAGATATATACATTTTGCTTATGTTAGTAGAAAGTAAAAAATGAAAGGTTGATCTTATATAACGTTTAATTTTGACATTTCTTTAAGAGACAAATGTGACATTGACTGAGAAGTTACTCTGTTGTGAAAAACAAAGAATTATCTGCACACTGAATAGTTTTAAAGCCCTGTAGGAGGTGTAATTTATTGTGACCTCTTAGAAGGTCTTGTGTGGTTTACATTGTATAGACTATTACCTATTTCCTACAAGTGCATTCAGTCAGCTCTGAGACCTCAGAATTTGCAAGGTCATAATAAAAACCACCTAGTGGGATTTATTATTACTCTGTGCAGATAATTTTTTTTTTCAGCAGCTACCACATGATGGTTTGGATATGTGCACATTATTCTGGGTTTAAACTAGACTTAAATCAGAGCAGCAAACAAGGCGCTCTTCAGAAACGTCAGGTTATGTTATACAGTATATGGGTACTGAGTGTATGGCTCCTTATTTATCTTAAAGTATAAGGTAGAAAGTAAAAATACTCCTGCACACACAGAAATATACTGCATAATTATTCAACATTTTATGTGAAACATGTTTGGGAGTATTTTCACTTTTCAACTTATACTAGACTGATGTTCTTTATGCTGGGTACACACCAAAAGATAATTGGGCTGATTTTGGGCTGATTTCCCCCCTTCCGACAATCCTAGCTATGTCCCGATTATCTTGATGGTTCTACAGATTATCTTATCAGATTCTCCCTTGGTGTGAGGTGTGTTAAGAGTGTCCGAACAGGCGCCCCGATCGCGAATTGGAGAAATCCTGGAGAAATGTGTGGGGGGATCCCAGAGGACAAACGTGCGCACGATTATCACATGAAATGAAACAATATCCAATCAGAAAGCGAGATGATTGAAGCATAAGAAACGCAGTCATGGCGCAGCACATGATGAAATGGACAGCAGAGATGGAGGATCAGCTAGTACATTTGTGGCAACAGCACGAATGTTGGATAGGTTGGGGATAGAAAATGTAATTAGCTCAGTATAAAAACCATTAAGGATACATAAGGATAGGTGTACCAGTACACATGATATGTGTGTGTGTGAGAGAGAGAGAGGTGGAAAATTAACCATGGTTTTATAATAGGTGTATTGAACATTTGTATAACCAAATAATTAGAATGTTTCATTTTTAGCAAAAATATGATTAATTTGTGGTTATCATGGTTTAACTACAGTATCCATGTTTTATTTTTTAATTGTAGTAAAACCATGGTAAATTTTCGTAAGGGGAGAGAGACAGGGCCAGCGTGTGTGCATTACCACAACCTTTATCTGAGAAGTTAACAAAATTTTCTGGTGAAAAATTACAGTGGAAGAAGTAAAGATGAGGGCCACAACTTTAAGAACCCAGTACTCCAAGCTTCTGAAAGCCAAATCCAGTGGGAGTGGGGAAAAGCCACTCACAAGCAAGCAAAAGTGGCTGCTGCAGTCACTGATGTTTTTGAGGAAATATGTCATCCAACGCGCCTCTGAAAGCAGTGTAAGTGCTATTACTGTAGCTTTGTTGTTCTTCAATAGTTATAGTTAAATAGCTTTATTTTAAAATCCATTTATCACATAGGCCTATATAGGTAATTGAATACCTTATGTGCTTTTCACAGCTTCATCAGTCAATTAAAGATGCCCTAGCTGCAGTGAATGACCCCACCAGTGATCCAGATGATGACGCATCTCAGATGTCTGAGGACATGAATGCGGAGCTGTCAGCAACTGTGTGTCAGCCATCTACTTTGCAGACTGATAATGAACTGTCTTCTCCTACACCACCCAACCTTACACAAAAGCGAAAGAAAAGCCAATCTACTGATTCCATTGAATTGGAGAAACTAAAGGTTTTGCAGGTAATGTCTACTGCTTAGAAGCAGGCCAGCTGCTGATAGTGACAGCACCTTTGGGGCTGAGGAGTTGAGGTTGATCAAAAATACTCTGATAAAGACTAGAGTTAAGAGAAATAATATGAATGCTTTATATGAGGCTCGGGAGTGTGATCACCCTGATGTATTGCCATCTACCCAATACCAGATGCCACTTGTATATCCTCCACTCCCCACAGTACAGATGCCCCCCTCACAGCCGTCCCCTTTTCTCGCATTCACACCTAGACAAGCACATCACCACATGTCTCCACCATCTCATACTACTCTACACAAGTGCTTTAGAATCAGTACCAGCTGCCTCAAAATAATGATCAAGAGTAACTTTTGGCAAGAAAACAATGGTGATGAATGGGCACAGTAGACTGTGCATAGCACATATATATTTAGATTATCAGCCAGTCTGTTTTCTGATAGCTTGATTGTCCATATTTAGGTTTAAACTAACCACTGTTGTGGCAGAGAAAAAGGCTCCAAAACACTAGAATTTCTGTTTTTTGATGAACCTGTGACTGTTCAGTCATGTTGTGTACCAGTGTAAACCTTGTATTTCTACTGTTTTTGTATATATATATTTAAGTTTGAGCCTGTTTTTATTTCAAGATTTTAAATTGTTTGGATAAAATTGTATATATGTCAATTTCAGAAAACAATTTCAAGGTACAAAGCACTGGAAGATTTTTTTATTATCATTTATATAAATGAATGTTTGCAAAGTTGAGGCAGTTCAGTGTCAATTTATTGCCTAGGTAACACAAGAAAATACAGTAATGTCATTCAGCAAAATAACATTTAAAAAAAAAATCACTTTGTGTCAAAAGAAAATAACATCTTTGCAGAGCTCAGAATGATTCATAAAACAGCCTGACAAATCAGCAACCTAGCTCCTAGAAATGTGTTGTTTTGTTTTTTAGAATGTAGGCAAAAAATGTCTAACACTTGAATCATAGTAGAGTTACACAAAGCACAATACACTAAGAAAACAGAACAATTAGGTTCCTCCAGTTTGTATTATTGCTAAGAGTCTAAATGTAGTTTTCCTGCCAGGGAACCTGGCCTGCAGGTGTAACAAAGTAGCTCTTTAATTTGTCTCTAATTTGTTTGGCAACCATGGAGCTGTTACAAGGTCTTCCTTGTTGAAGTGGGAGCTTGGCTCCCAGACCATCCTCTCTCCAGGTACCCTCTATGAGTCTGTGTTCTGCATCTTCTGTATCAGCTGTGTAGGAGTCAGACCGAACTTCACACAAATAGTTGTGGAGACACACACAAGATAAGACAATCTTCTGCACCTTGTCTGGGTTTATCATAATTGTGCTGCGGAACACTCTCCACCTGTTGGCAAGTATACCGAACCCGTTTTCCACCACTCTGCGTCCTCGAGAAAGTCTGTAGTTAAACACTCTCTGCTGATGATCCAACTGGCGAAAGGGGTATGACTTCATGAGGTCAGTGCGCAAAGGATATGCATCATCTCCAAGCAACATGAAGGGGACTTCGAAATTAGAGCCTGGCAGATGTTTGGCTTCAGGGATATTAAGGAGGCCCATGTCAAGAGCTTGCTTTAAGTCTGACTCCAGCATCTGATGCTCTGCCCTGTGCTCCTACACTGACATACCGAAACTGGTACTTGGCATCAACAACTGCCATCATCAGCACAGAGAATCGTCCTTTGTAATTGTGGAAGGTGCTTCCACTATGTGCTGGTGGCTGAATGTTTATATGTTTCGCATCAATTGCGCCAATGCAGTGGGGAAACTGCCAGTTTATATGGAAGTCTTCTGCAATTTACAGCAATTCTCTTCTGTACTGGGAGTCTGAAATAATAGTGAAACAACAACGATAACATAATATCAAACAGTTTTCAGATTCCAGACCACTGCATCACCAAAAGTAATGAATGAAAGATAAAGTAAATATTAGTTAATTACATAGAAAAAAAGACTGGGCATGCTCATGTATTCAACAGTCACTTCCATCCAAGTAATTGTATTGAACAATCAGCATTTCATGGTCAATACATCAACACTCCCTTAAAGGGATAGTTCACCCAAAAATGAAATTACTCACCCTTATGTTGTTCCAAACCAGCATGAGTTTCTTTCTTCTGTTGATGACAGGGGACGGTAGCCATGGACTTCCACGGTAGGATAAAAATACTATGGAAGTCAATGGCTACCGTCCTCTGTCTGGTTATCAACAATCTTTAAAATATTGACTTCTGTGTTCAGCAGAAGAAAGAAACTCATACAGGTTTGGAACAACATAAGGGTGAGTAAATAATGACTATCCCTTTAAATATTATGAATATTATGAACTGTTTTGTTGTACTGTAGTTTTATTGGTGTCATGCGGACTTTTAGACATTAAATAAGCTTACCTACAGATATTCATTGGCAAGAGTGTGGTGCAGGGCTTCACATGTTTCACTCACAATCTTGGAAATTTGGTGTCATGTCTGGTTATTAGTGGGGCCACTTTATTGAGAATAAATTTCGAACTCCTCTGTATTCATTCGAAGAAGCCCCCTGAAACCCGCTCTGTACTCTACCTGTCAAAATAATCATACAAATTAAGGAATTATGGACAAGTACCCTAATTATATGTATCCTCCTTTATGCTTCACTGATTTGTTATGGTCAGGCTACGGTATCAACAGTTGTATGTGATTCCATATATCTTCAAACAACATCAAATTGTCATGAACTGTAAGAAAATCAAAATATAAAAACAAGTATTTTAAGTGTATTTATTAAGGCAATTTATTTTCCAAGAGAGACCTGAGAACAACAATTATAAAAAACATAGCTGTGTGATTTTGTGACCATTGCTCACCTCTAGCTCACTCTGTACAGACCATGTTCCCGCCGTCTCCACGACTTTACCCAAACCCTTTTCTTTTTTTTTTGTGAATTTTCTGTGAAAATCATTCCAAACACTAGCATCGCAATTTCTTCCTGCATATCGTCCGCCATGCTTATTCTGAAGTCTCACGAGATTTAGCGAGATTTCCTGTGTTCACTGTGTAGACTCGGGTTGAAAATCTGTTTGTGTGTGTATATACTATAGGAGCAACACGGTTGAATCTAGGATTTTTTCTCCTCATGTTTGTGGTCTATCACATTTTGAAAATCTTATAAGATGTAAAAAAATCCTTTGGTGTCTACCCAGCATTAGCATGAGTTCAGTTTTAATGTTTCATGTTTTCAGGTATACGATTAGCTTTTCAGTAAGTAGTAAAGACAGGGAGTGCTAATATAAATATAGAATTTATATTTTTATTTATTTATGATTTTTTTGAAATGGACTTGAAGATGATACAAGTATGGACAAAATTTAAAATTTAAAAGGAGAGAAGGCCTTTTCCACACCAGTCCGCCCCATCAGCACAATGAGTCTTCCCAGGTCTCTGCAGCTCTCTGGGCACCAGGTGGGACATCTTATCCACAGAGAACTCTGGGAGGAAAATGTATAATAAATTCTTAAGGTGATAAAAAATATAAAGTAAATACAGATGATTCTTTAAAAATAGAATATTGTGGAGAAGTGAATTTTCTACCATAATTTAATTCAAAAAGTGAATCTTTGATTTATTCTAGATTCATTACACAAAGCATTTCAAACCCTTTTTGTTTTCATCTTGAAACATCTTGACAGCTTCCATCAGGTAACTAAGGACTCTACGTTCATTGCAAGTAACATACTGAGGTGACGTCCAATTAAACAACTCATAACTAACGTTATGTAAAAGGGTTACTTGATTTGCTTCAAATTGATCGTTTCAGATGTAAGTAAACTTAAGGTAATTACTGATTCATAGTTAACTGTTAACGTTGGTCTCAACAAAATCTAGTGTTGTAAAAAAAAACGTTACCACATTTTTAAATTAAAAAGCATTTAAAACCTTGTGAAGTATAATGTCAATAACAGATATGTGAGTTATTTTAATATTTTCCTGTGTCTTACCTTGACTGTAAGATGGTAACGCCCAGAAACTGGTAACAGGGCTGCAGTTTCCAACCTCCACCGTACAGCACCAACGTTTAGAAGCTACCTCTGCTAACGCAGAGTAGCATTTAGCATTAGCTCCTTAGCGTGAGCTACCTTGGTTACATCGAGCTAGGTGGGAGTGGTGTCAGCAACACGTCACCTCAGCTCCACCCACGACCCGTTTTTGGTTATCCGGGAGTGATGCCACGTCCATTTTTATATACTGTCTATGGTACAGCTTTCCTTATTTCCAACAGCAGTGAATTACAGTGAAATGGTAGGGTAAACAAATCACAAAAAAACTCAAATCTTATATAATGTTGCTTAAAAGTAAGGCTAGGCCTATAGATAAGTGTAGGGTATATGCCTTTTTAAATATGTTTGTCATTTTTAACATGTTGTATAGAGTATATATGCTTTTTTGTTCTAAGATTAACAATAATCATGGATATGTGATTATGTGCACATAAAAAGTTTAAAGACAACTCTGCTATGAGGAGAGAAGAAAAGAACTTGATGCCTGACAGGAGTGACTCCTTTTTTTGTTTTTGTACAAGTAAACAAGAGTTCTGACTGAAACACGGTTACTTTTATTGTTAGTCTCTGAGTAAAGAAAGAGAGAAAAGATGGCATTAGGCAGAGACAGTGATATTTTTTGTGAAATAGATATTTATTTGATGCTGGTTTGTCTTGTGTTTTGACATAGGTATTTTGATAATTACTTCCATTAGAAGCCAAGAGCAGTTTGCAGATCCAAATTGCAACATCCCTCCTTTGTTATGACGCAATGAAGTAGCAGGGACTAGCTGAAATTCAAACAGGACAGCAGCCTCCATGGATTTAATTCAGTTATAATAGTCCCAATTAAAATACAAAATAAATGTTCCACTTAGGAAAGCATATAGAGTGTTGAAACCAGCTGCTCTCTTGGAGGTTTAATGCATTTTTGAAAATGTATCATTCTGTTTTTTCTTACGCAACAGGCTTGTTTCCTTAACTTAATACTGTAAATTCTTCTGTGCATTTATTCAAACTATATGAGTTAACAAGTTATGAAACTGAAAAGGGCAAATACTACAGATTTAGCACTTGAGAAAAGAGAGAAGGAAAGAGATCAAAGTTGAGCTGTCTGGGTTGGAAGTTCAGAATAAAACTCTTAGGGATCATAAGACAGGCTACAGTCCTCATGTAACGTTACTGTCCTCGCAATGAGTTGCACGTTTTTCAAAGTTAGTGTGTTTGAAGTCCTCCAAAGAAACTCAAGGTGTAACTTTTCTTGCATATTTATGAAGAATCACATACTGTAAGACACAACTGGAAGAAACAAAAATCATTGTGCTAACTACTGCCAGCTAACGTTATGCTAGCAAGCTATTTATCTATCTGATCCTACCTACGGTTCAGTTTTCACTTAACAAAACCATATCAATTATAGTTAAACGTGTAAAAGTCAAAAATTCAAAATAAAATACTTGCGAACAAATAGTGTCCAGGAACAAAAAGTGCAGCAGGACCAATCAACAGCACTCCTCTGTCCACCATGTTTACTTGACTGTGTGGAAAATCCCTAGCTCTATTGCTTCTAAATAAACAGCAGGAGGCACTTCAGTAAATTAAACAGTGAACATTTTCTCAAAATAGGGCAGTACATATCACCTCAAATGTGAAAGAAAAAACACATAATACTATGACAAACAAACAAGACATTATTGATTCTAAAGAGAGAAATGTT